CACACTCTTGGTCGCGGAGGTTTGTGAGGGTTGCATTTACTACAGGATCAAACCACCTAAGCCAAGGTGTGAGGCATCGTGCTGAGATCTGCATGGCACTGGGGTGGTAATTAGCCAGTGTCTTGAACGATCCCCTCGGGGCACCAGGCAGCACACCATTGTACTTAAGCCTTCCACCCATATGGGGCGCTGCGGGTGGTGACTTTTTAAATCCCCATAACTCGTGGGATTGAAATGAATAAAGGAACCAAATTAAAAACTGGTAGTAAAGACCTGGAGAGAACCTGGTCCAGTGCCTCTTTGTCCACCACAAATCCCACACAATCAGACCAGGGCTCGAACCCAGACCACCACTGTGGGAAGCCAGTGACTAACTGTCAGAGCTATGGTGTGGCCCATCTCATGAAGTTGGTCAACTCTCCACCAGATATCAGCAGGACACAGGAATTAAAAACATGTTTTCTATTATAAAAGCCAGAAACAACTTATACAGGTGTAATTATTTATTCTTACTGGTTATTCCCAGACATTGTAAAGAATGCCCAAGCTGTGCATACAAATATGTGGATGCTCTGTGTGTGTATCCTTTCTATTTCTGCTGCTCCTTAACAAGAAACCACAATGATGTCAGTACATGCCCACAGCCATAGCATGTGGTGCTCTAGTTTACATTAACTGTATTTCTGTTACAGAAAATAACACATCTTCCATGCAACTCCATGCACCAAGTAAGTAAAAAGAAGCAGTAACACTTCTAACTTGTATTCAGGAGGTGTCCAGATAGAATCCTGTCTGTGAAACTGACTATTGTGACAAGTTTTTCATGCCACATCCATGCAAATGTCAGGACAGTACCTTAAATTACACCATGACAGCCTTTCTTTACATCCTTCCTGATTTATTATTCATTATCATCCAATTGCTGGATGCTATATAGAATGAGCTAAAAAAACTAAACTCAGTGACTTTCAGCCTGCAAGCAAACTATACGGAATGAGCAACCACCGCTTGGTCAGCACAAGAGATTCCCATGGCCGTTAATCTCGGTTTTCTGGACTTGAGCTGCTACTTTCCTACTCAAGTAGCTCCTCAATTATCCTCATGAGGCTGAGTGCACCCTGTTCCAGACCCACCACTTCTCAGAAAATCTAGTAGTGCCAGGAATCGAATCTGGGACTCCTGGATCTGCAGCCAGGAACGCTGACCACTAGACCACAGAGGCATGAGCTACTGATAATAAACTATAAATTCCAAATCCATGAGGGAGAGCTTTTCTTGAGAAGTTAACACCATTCAGCTGTCAAGGAAACACTGGTCTTTTATAAAACCTACAAGTTCATTACTGTGTTCAGAGCCAATGAACCTTAACCTGATCGAGATGAATCCAGCTCACACCTTTATATCTTATTTACGTAACATCCAGTTGAAAATGGTTTTCCAATAAACATTTTGTTGGCATTTCTCATCCCTCCAATATATTCTACATGCCCCACCTATCTCATTCTCCTTGATAGAATCACCATAATAGTATTTGGTGAAGAGTACAAATTGTGAAGCTCCTCATTATTGAATCCAAGTTCCAAATTACTGGTCCTTTTTATCATCACTCAGGTCATGCCAAAGAAAAGAGTCCAAGACTAAAACTCTGTTAACATTTCCCAGTATCTCTTCCCTCCATACATTCCAAACAAAGTGCATGAGACAGAGCATGCCTAGATGTCTCAAAGAATGGGATGTACCAACAATAAAACAGTAAACAAAGCAGCTTTGACACACCATCTACTTACAGCATGAAGGAAATCTATTCATTTCACATTCATCAATTCTCTCTCACAAAAAGTGGAATTCCAAATACAAACACTGATATACTTACTACAAGACACATACCTACCAATCAATGTGTACAAAGCTTCCACTGCCCCATTGTAGAGCTCAGTATTAATGTCTTGGTTATTCTCAACAATTATTTTCTGCCACACTAACTGGATATAGTTGAGACACTGCATAAAGATAAAGACACATATGGAGCAAATATAGTTAAATTCTAAAGGGTAAATCAAGTTTTGCCATTCATGTATTCAATAAAAAATATTCTATGTATACATTCTGCCCCAGTTTACCAATTCATATCAATTTCTGTCTGGAAAAATATTATACACACCTTTCTTATCTCCAAGCCTGAATAATATGAGCAATAATAATTAAATAATGAATCTGGTTCTGTACAAAAAATATTGTTGCTGACTTCGAATATGGCAAGTGCAAAATACCTGCCTTCTGACTTTACACATGCAGTCCAATGTCTCTACAAGAAACATGGATGGAAATATTTTCCAACAGTCCTGTTAGCACCAACATCATAGTGCCGTGAAAGCATACAAGTGATTCAAAAAGAGACACTTTCAAGACTCTGAGTTTCAAGAACAGAAATAAATAAATCATGAGGGCCATATCAGATGAGTATGGTGGATGTTTCAACACTGTTACTTGTTTTATGGTAAAAAATTATTTAACCAAAAGGGAAATCTTTATGATGCAAAATCCACTTGTCTGACCAAAGATATGTTCTTTAATGATGAATGTGTTATGAATATTCCACACCTTGAATATGAAATATATAATTAAATGTTTTGTAGGACAAAACATATAACAGTTAATTCTTCTGAGAACAGAACAGCAGATCAGCATAGTTTATTTTCCCATGATTTTAACACTGCTGATGCCCTGAGTCTTGCAAACTGGATTTTCCCATTGGAAAGTTTGGCATTTTGTTTCTGAGTCATAATGGAAGATCTAAATTTCAACATCAGGTACTACCATATCTTTCAAAATTTTGGTTTTTTACAATGATGCTGTAAGATCTGGGCAAAGCACTTCTCTCCACATTCTTTGATTCTTGGGCCGCTTTCAGATAAGACACACGGTGGCTGGACACACAGTGTCCAGCGACTGCAAATACATTAGAGTGAATACTAATGTTCACACAAGCGTCTCAGTGTCCCACGTCTGAGGCACTGTGGCGCAACTGTGTCTTTCCCCTCTAGTGGCCGAGACACTGACTTGTGGTCTGGCCACTCGAAGTGCATTGAGTTGTATGCTAGCGTTCAGACAAGACACACAGTATCCAGCATCATTGATGAAAATGGTGGACAAACATTTTGATACTGATAAATTTATCGAGTTAGTGCGAGCCAGACCTGTTATATGGGATATAAATAGTGATGATTATGCCAACATTTTAGACTGCCGTACAGTTCCGTGAATGATGTACTAGACATTCTGTAGTAATTAAAGAACTTCCTTTTATCACTGCAGATATCTTCATGGAGTGTGTAGAATGCTCCTTTGCTAAGCCTACTTTCAACAACAGGGTGAACCCACAATTTTCTCTTCTTGTTCCTCTTCCTATATTTTCGTAGTATGTGCATAATTATAATGATTTCTTCTGGTTCAAGCAACAAACTGTAGTCAGGCATTCCCTCCATCTGAATGACTGAGGGCAACATCAAGGTCGGGTTCTGACGTCAGAGCCACTAAGTGTGCGTGTTGTGGCATTGAGTGGCTGTGTCCCAGACACTAGTCGCAAGCCACTGTGTGTCCTGTCTGAAAGCGGCCTTGCTGTGACTGGCCCATTTTGGCATAGATTTCTTCACATGCAAATGCCTGGCCAAAACTATTGTCAGAGTTTCACTATCCATATTCAATTATTTTGTTATTTTCAGAGAAGTCAACTTATGAAGAAAGCAGTCTTCTGGGATGTTTCACCGTGTAGATTTGGTGTTAACCGACGTTTCGGAGGAACTTATCGCCTCCATCTTCAGGGTAGAGAAAAAATAAGAAAATCCACAAGTGAAGAGACAGCGAGAACCGGTGTAATGGGTTACTTTCATCTATCTTTTGCTCACTGTTCTCATTCCATAAGCTTGCTGCAGCACTAAACAAATGCCATAGGCATTTCACAATATGTATTACTGGTTCTCTGTTCTAACAATTGATCACCAACATTTTTGTCAAGCAATCAAAATGTGGTGCAAATAAAATGCTTACTGCAACCATAAAAACAAGTGAATCACAATTACTGCTGGATACAGAACGCTTCAGTCATATATTTACATGATCCAACATGCACAAACTCACCACTGATGCCAATTGCTGCACAAAAATGCTATTCTGCTTACTGAATTGTCAGACTTTGTGTGAGAGCCCCTTACTTCTTAGAATATGAAGCAAATTCCATGCATTGTAATAAGCAAATCAACCTGGGGGTAAAGAGCAGCAGGCACATGAGGCTGACAACCTCATAACCATCTGTGAGCTTTTACATAAATTTTTTATGAGAGCGTCTATATTATGAAATCTGACTAAAAATACATCACACCCTAAGTATTATTCTTCAAATTTCTTTCAATTTTCATTCCTTACCATAAATACTAAAACTATCTCTAATACTAAGAAGCTTACAAAACTTCATACATATTATTGTTCTGCCTGTGCATGTAGTTCATTGTTGTATCATGATAATAATCACAAACAAAACATATGTATTCTCTGTTCATGGTGTTGCTATCTTTCCTTGTTTACCTTTGTTACTTACAGTCATGTGAATATACAGTACATACAAATCTTGAGCAAAGAAAATCTGCATGTCATTGAAACAGTGTCATTACACAGCCACCTCAACTCAACACTCTGCAGTACATAAATTCTTTATATAATACCAATCAACAAAATTCTTACTCAGTTGAGTAAAAAATGAATGTTAGTGTTCCCTTTCTTCATTGGTATTACATACTTTTCATCAATACAACTAAATTACCTGGAGGAAACCACAAGTTGCAAGTGACCACCAGAAAGACCATTTCAGCACATACATATTTGTGTAGGCAGTAGAGAAATCTTCCCAAAGATAGTAATGTGCATTTTTACAACTACCAGCAACTCTCTTGCTATCCTGTAACCTCCTGCCAGGGTCACAGCCATTTACTCTAGAAATGTGTTGATTGGGCTCCTTGGTTTCAACTGCATAACTGGTGGCACTCTCTACTAATCCAGTCAAAGGTACAACTGAAATAAGAACAAAGAATATCATACACAAAGCAGGATAATCTGTACAAAACTTACACTATTATTGCAATAAATATATAGTGTAGGGGAAGAGTTCTTAATCAGGAATGAGGGTGTGGATCACTAAAAAGAAATTAGTTTTCAAGCCTTCATCCATGAAGAAGTCTCCATAACAAACGCTGGCCAATGGCCAAACAGAGGATGCTTTTTATATAATTTGTGATTCATAATTCTTCTTTATGACTGTGTTTCTTTTGGTAAACTTATCAAAAATAACAACAATCTCAAGCCTTTATCTCATTTTTAATTACATTTACACAAACAGAATATTTCAACCTTGCTGCTCAAGACAAATTGTTGGAACAGGCCTGATGCCATGTTGCAAACAGTCAACCTCTTGTAAGATTTGAGGTTTTCACAGCAGTGACTATGAAGAAAGCAGTCTTCTGGGATGTGGCATCGTGTAGATGTGGTGTTAACCGACGTTTCGGAGGAACGTATTGCCTCCATCTTCAGGGTAGAAGGAAAATAAGAAAATCCATGAGCGAAGAGACCGTGAGAACCGGGTACAAGCAGACTGGTGTTGGAAATAAACACAGCTATGTGAGAGCAGTGAAGGGAGGGGGGACAANACATCTACACGGTGCCACATCCCAGAAGACTGCTTTCTTCACAGTCAACCTCTTGGTTCTATCTCTTGATTTTAGTGAAACAGAACAACAGGTAATACTAGATGTCTCATCAATTTTATTGCTTATGTTTATTTATTTGTAATTATATGATCCTGTCACTAAGTCAGACTACGCTGAACTCCCATCTCAGGTTCCTTTTGGGAGCAGTGAACATTAACACTAAACTAAGGAAAATCTTAAATAGAGGGAACATTAAACGGGGGTTCCACTCTATAGATCACTGAATGACTGGATAACAGAGGATAATGAATTAGAAAAGATGTGGAAGAAGTGGTCATGACCTATTTAAGGAACTACCTCTTGAGGGGCTGAGGAAAACCCTGTCAGGATAGCTAAGGTCCAGGCCAAGATTCAAACTGAACAGTTCCCAAATAAAAGTTATATAAGCATTACTGCATAAGCCAAGATCCTTCATAATTTTATTTCTTATTCACAAATTCAATACTGGACACTTTCCTCAAAAAAATTTACATTTACCATCTATTCAAATGATGGGTGCACACTAATCTTTACTGGCTGTGCACTGCACTACTGTGATGGGACATCTGAGTAGTCAAGGTGGCCAAGCACTAAATTTTTTTCAATACAAATGTTGTCACCAAAAAGTCAAAAATCTTGTGATAAACTTGTAATATCAGGGGATTTAAAGTTTGATCAATTAAATTCTGTAAAACAATGACATAAATAAAATGTGTAAAAATATGTGTGGTGAATATATTTTCATTTTTTGTTGATCTGTCTTTTCAGAGGTGTCTGAATTTAAAAGAACAAAAATTAACGATTATCTTAATATTCTGAACAATGAAGTAGCAACAAATGGTCAGAAAGTTTCATAACTGAGGCAATATGAACCAATACTTTTGTTGCAGAAACTGACGCAAAGTTACGGAAAATCTTTTACCATGTCATCTAGTTTTCTTACATACCTGACTCCTCTGTGACAGCCGCAGGGTTCTCAGTACCATCAATCTCATTTTGTTTATGTTTCTTTCGATAAAAGTACATGCTATGGCGTACTGATGGAAGGAAGAATGCCCAGAGTGTTGCTAAGCATACAGCTGAAAAAGTATTACACTATCATTAAGACATTTATTTCTGAGTTTTATTACTAAATATAAAGACATAATATATCAATATGAAATGTTGTTCAAGTTTTGTATTAATAAAGAGTGTCAGGAACAAAAGGGAGGATGGATATGTGAAACTGATAAAGCCCTTCTTGAGAAGTTAACAGTCATACAGGTGGTTAAGAAATGTCCCTTCTTTTACAGAAGCCACAAGTCACTAACACGTCGATAAGAATCCACCACTTGACTTCATATTGAGACAGGTAAATTCACTCCACACCTTCACATCCCATTTCATTAAGAATCATTTTATTGTAACAGGATGTCTAAAATCCATAACTTTTGAATGCTGGAACTGCAGAAATATAGTAGAGATCTCCATTACTAAGCAATGTCATGGTAAATACACACTCTAAGCAACAAACATGTTCAAGACAGAGTGCTATAGAACCAAGAAGAGGATGGACAAAGGAAATTACAGAAAAGTAACAAAAGACAAGGATGCAAGGGGAGTCAAATGGCCAATTATAGTTGCTTATAAGTAAGAGGAGGCAGTGCCTAAAATATCCACTTCCTACAAGAATGCACAGCATAGTAACTTCATGTGGCATTATCTGCATATTCCCCTCTATATCTATGTTTTCCAAGTTGTTAACTTCATTTCCCATCAGGATTTCCTTATTTGTGTGCTTCTATCACCTCTCCCATGCATGTTATATGCCCACGCTGTTCATCATCAATGATCTGTGATCCTAATGGTATCCGGTGAGGAGTACAGATTGCAAAGTTTCTCATTATTTAACTACCTCCATCCTCTTGTTGCTCCCTCTCTCTTCAGTTGAAATATACCCTTTACCAGCATATTCTCAAACACCTTCAATCTATGTCCTCCCTGCACAGAAAGATACAAGATACCCATACAAAAGCAGTAATTTCAATTTCAATTTATTTAACGTTCCATGGATCCACAGTACACGTAAGATATAGAACATGTCAAAATAGTACATACACAGAATAGATAAAACAAAGTAACTGAGTAGAATAAAATGAAATAAAATACATGAATCAGATAGTTGATTCCACTAAATACATAATAATTAATACTATTAGAATTGACTATGAAATAACAAAAGAAACATTTCAACAAAGAAATAGTGAAATATCTGACTACAAGCAAATCATAACAGAGTACTCCTAAAATGCCATAAGTATGACAATATAAAGTTTGATACTAGCTTTTGACTAGTCATTGACTTGTACAGGTTTTATATTGAAAATATTCTTCTATGGAATTAAAATAATCTGTATGGAGAAAATGTTTTAAACAGGTTTTAAATTTCCTAGGATTATGAGATACCTCTTTGATGTGAGGAAGGAGATTATTGTAGACCCTAATGTGCATACAATACACTCCCTTTTGGTATACAGTAAAGTTTGATATAGGCTGATAGAAATCATTGGATTGTCTTGTACTTACGTATATTGTGATTTTCTGAATTTAAAATAAAAAGATTTGTATTGTTAACCACAAAAGGTATGAGTGAAAGAATATACTGTGATGCAAGAGGTAAAATCTCCAACTTTCTCAACAAATTTCTACATGAAATCCTACTATTGCAGCCAATTGTAATTCTAATTATAGTTCTATAAATTAAGCCATTCAGTTTAAATGAGTTTAATATACTAAATAATCCAGTTATTTATATGGTGTTATATGTTTTAGCCCCTTGGAGTCATCTTCAAACACACATGCACACAACCCATGTAGAATCTCTCTCACCCGCCTTCCCCTTCAGGCACTACATGTATCCAACAGGACATCCAGACATTTAACAAGCAACAGAAACATCATGTTTCTGGACAATATCCATTGTCCTGTTTTTATCTAAACACCATCTTGTTTTTATTTAAAAACGCAATATTTTGGAGACTGGATTCTGCTTCTGTCTTCAGTAAGACCTCTTCAGTTAGGCCCAGTTGATAGAGCTAGTCATAACATACAACAAGAAACCTTTATTCTGATTCTACTTGAAGATCTACAATTTTAACTTATTTTATAGTTTATGGCTGTATAACTTATGATTATACTAAGATATACAGCAACTGTAAAGCAAGCTTCTTTTACTGTCAACCTCCTGAAGATAGCCCTGAAGGGCTGAAACATGTAAGGCCACATAAATAATTGGATTATTTACAATAAACTTGTATACACTGGCTAGCTTAATTAATTAAGCACAGGGACAACTTTACCTTTCTTCCTTTCTTATACTACTCGAGAATCTGGATTGAAAAATGTTAACAACATGAACTGAAACATCATTTACATTAAATGGATATAATGATCCTACCTGCAAGAGAAATGAAATTAAGTTGGTAATAGTCCAATGTTCCAGATGACACGAGAGCTTGGGAAACAATACCAGACAGGGCACGGCCAAACAGGTATGCAGTTCTTGTGTGACTGGTCACTTGTTGGTAGTGTTCCTTGTCTACTTGGGCATATATGTATGTATAGTATGCAACCTCTGCTGCCATGAAGAATCCATAGAAGACCTCCATTATCTATAACATGATAATCCAAATTAAACAAAAGTGAAGGTGAGAACATGTTACATTTAATATAAGACAGCAGTACACTTCACATTTAATAGCAAGTCTTCAAGTATTTACTTTTGTGAGTATCAAAATACCATAACCTAACATCATTTGTTCTGCTAGACTATGAAAATAAGACTAGTGGAAGCTGAAGATTGGATACCTATGACAAGAATCAGCCAAGAAGAAAACAATAATCATGCAAGGCAAAGAAAGCCTGAGGAATTCCTGGTAATATGAAATGTATAGGTTTTACATGATTAATGAAAAGAAATTTAGTTTCTAGGAGTCCTGTGATGGATTGCTTTCAAATTAATCATCTTTTGAACAAATTTTTCAATAGGAATGACGTTCAGATCCTAGCCAGGAGGGCTCAAATATTTTCTCATTCCCAGAATCATTCAATGGAGCAGTTACATCATTCCTTAACCTTCATTTCCATTGTATAGTTTCTCTGAACCATCCAGCCATGTATTTTAGTCTTGTTATGTGACTGTCCCTTGATGCACTATGTAGACACACAGTGACTACTTACACCTACATTCTCAGAATTGAAAGGACACAAATTTTCTAGGGGTCAGTATCCATCAAAATTAGCTGTGTCTTTCTTTAGAAATTAACTGCCTCTTCAAGCCTTTTTGGAATACTGAGCTACAACCAAGCAGGAGTTCAATGCTTTTTAATTTAGATGGTTTGTTGTGACACTCTCCTGGCAGGTTGCTGAAGTAAAGAGAATTCACAAGAAGATTAAAAACTGTAAGCACTACCAGCAAAAGTGTATGGATTTTGAAGGAAATCACTCTGAAAGGGATGTAATGCTGTTTTCCCTGTGTCATGACTCTACTTTCTTTTTATTATGTTAGTTCTGCAACATTTGTTTCCATTGGTCAATAATACTCAAATCCATGTTCGCTACAAAGTTTCTGAATGGGTTAAATCTGACACATGGTTCAAAAGTTGGAGGATGTGACAGGCAGATGACTAGACAGAGACATATAATATGTGCACTGTCCCCACTCGCCCCCAATTTACATAAAGAACACACATATAATACCAGCATGTTCATGCCACCACAACACAGCACAATGAGAGAATAGTGAAGCTCTTCATGGACATGAGTTCTTGTGACCAATGTCCACAATCCCGTTCAATGGAACATTTTAGGCAAACTTCATCCGCATAAGAAAGGTTCTATCTTCTTGGATATAATGCCACATAGTCTGATGAAAATCAACCTATGTTCCAGAGGAACATACTACCTCCACCTTCAGGGTCAAAGAATAAGGCAGGCAAGAAATCAGCATGAAAGAAGCAAAGTTAATTATGTGTGAAAAGGGCAGGAACTTTATGGGCTTGGAGGGAATGTACAAGTCAACAAGTCTGCTCCCATTGGTTCCCCTTGAGATACAGAGTGTAACCGCACAATTGAAATCCCCCCCCATTATTTTTATTTCAGTAGTTGACAGAGTTAATAATAAGAATTTATGAAGAAACAAAGGTTTAAGACACACTGTAAGAACAAAGAATAGGCGATGAGCAGATAGACGAAACTTGCGTGGACAAGGACATCTGCTAGTCCTTGAGTCCAAGCATCTGGTGTTATTTTCCAAAAGGGCAGAAAATGATACTTCAAGACACCCCACTGAGTTTCTTTAGAAATTGAGAATTAGACTTACAGCGGGAAGACACTTTGAGAATTCTAGAAGTGACAGTTTCTACCAGCCGTAAGTCAAAAGTGGGAGTGCCAGGAGATCATTAGTGACTCCTCATAAGTTGCATCGCTGTCAATTTCGCCATTTGGTCTTTTGGGGTGAAATTCCCTTAAACATAATCTGTCGTTGACCAGAACCAAAATTAAGACAACTCCCCTTATTTGAATCAGCCTATCAGGGAAATTAGGAGAGGAGAATAGGCAGATACAACTCAGTTAGGACCTCTAGGCTCAGCAGAGTTCAGTCTAAAATTTTTAGTCTATCCACTTTCGAACTTGGCGGAGGCAAACCCCGCACCACACACGCTAAAAGATAATTCTAAGAAGTACAAATTTTTGCTCATAATGACTCATATTGAGATTTAGCTTAATCTGTAAGAGGACAGTTATAAGTTGAGCTGATCGAGTGCATTTTTGTGTAAGTGTAACACCAACTGCTTGTAAGCTGAAACTAAATCAGATTGTGAGAATTTACGCAGCCGAGAGTCTTTAAGAAGAACAACAATAATGTGTTGTGGTGGTACAGTGAATTGTGTTAATTAGAGGTGCTTCACCCTCACTTGTCCGAGCCTGACCCGTATCCGACCTGAAGAGAGACTCATCTCCACTGTCTAGTCAAACCCACCGTCAGCTTTCACATGCTCACTCCTTCCCCCCTTTACAATGAATCGTAAACAGTCTCTAGCTGTTTGCTGGCGCCCATACTACCAGATCCCATCATGAAATCCAACCCCCAATGATCTCAACGGAAGGAAGAAGTGGTGGAGCCAGGTCAAGCCGAAACCAGCTACGACCCAACAACTTCAGAAGCGGCAACACCAGGTAGGGCAGCGTCAAAGTGGCCATCGGAGCAGAGGGGCTGATCGCCACTGACTCCTACTCCCTGCACTACTATTCAGAAGGAGCCGAAGGCGGAAGGGCATACGAAGGGGCAGTTATAAGAGTGAACCAATAGGAGACAAGAGAAGAGTAACCACTATGAGCTCTGAGAAGCCCTGCATTTGTAACTTGTTTCAGTAGGCACAGAAACGAGGAGGGTGGGAGAGATGTGTAAGTGGGTGCATGTAAGCAGAAGGGGATATAGCGCATGGTAGGCTAGTAAAGGAAAGAAAAGCTCAGGGTTGAGACACACTCAGAAAGTGCAGTTGGTGCCCAGGACAACATGGTCCAGTGAAGAACCCATCTTCAGAATCCTGTGAGGGAGACTTCCTATGATTACTTAAGAAGCAGATGAATCTTTTCCACAAACTGCTTAGAAAGGTGCCACTCTCCCTGCTTGTATTATTGGGATGGACCTAAATTTCAATCACCTCCCTAATGATGCGCTCCATACATCTAGGTTTGGTGGAGTGGATGTGGTGCCCCACGCTGATGCTGTCCTCCACTTTGGAACCAGCCAGCTTTGTTGATGGTATTCCTTCACTCTGATGTTGACTCAACAGCCTGTCTGTCCAATGTAGAACTGACCATATGCACAAGAGGTTTCAAGAACTGGGTCATCCTTAACAGGCCAAAGGAAGCTAGAGATTTTCCTTGCAGATCATCCTGCTAATTGCAGATGAAGGTTCACCAGACATAAGGCAGGAAGGCAACTGAAACTGACCTGTCACTGGGCACAGCAACTCTCACAGGAGGATGTCAGCTGCTATAGGTGTTCTGCCAGAACATGAACTTCAGAAACTCCAGTTCCTCACGCAGGTTGTGCTGGTTGTAAAGAGCAAGCCACGTGCACTAATGATGAAAGCAGAGCATGCTTGCTGGGTGGATGAAGGTAGTGAGGACACAAGTTAAGACAGAGGTCAGTGTGGGTAGGTTACAGTATACACTATGGCTCAGAGGGCCATCAGGTCTCCCGTAAATAAAAATTGTTCTGGCCGTCACAGTCAAGTTTGCTAGAAGAACAGTAAATGCTGCCAAATGGTAGGTCCACTGTGAAGCGGAGGCTCCATGCATTCTTATGGACAGCAGTGACAGCGACACTGCCTTACAGTGAGTGGGATGGTTACTGATGAATCATACTTCCTTTTTTTAACTCATAATATTAATTTTCAAACTGGCTAGCCACAGTAGGTAGCACGAACATCAAAGAGCCAAGCATGAAAAACAAGCAATTTCTTGATTTATACATAAGTTTCATTGTAGTTTAAACATGTAGACTCCATACTTAAGTATAAGCTGCAACAGAATTGTACAAAATTTCTCTTTACATACAGCAGTGATTGCAAGCCTCTTATTCAACTTATGGCAACAGGAGTACATGTCTTTCCATGTAGTTCACTGGCACAGAAATCACAAGGCATGCAAAAAGATTCATGTCTGATGCCAACTTGAGAGATAAATTCATTCAGGACTTCAGACAAAGAGTCACGCATGTAACATATACTTCGGTGTGACCTTATACTCATAAATAACACATCAAATACTTAAATCTGTATGACAGCCAACAACACTAAAAATTAAACATGTTTTTGATGAAATAATTTCAATATCATTATGTCAAATTTTTACAGATGACCGGTTCCCTTCATTTGGAGTTACAAAAACTCTTGATTAGCAATGCTGTCTAGATTACTGTTACATTATTCTATTCATTATTCTATTATTCTATCATTATTCATATTCCATAACACGTTAAACAGTTCAGTACTGTTTAACGTTGTGTACACAATATTGAAACAGAAATTCCTGTTATTTGACATAATGTAATAAGTGAAAGTTCTGGAACACTAATTGTTATAAACACTGATGCAGACAGACTACAGAGTAAATAGGAAGATAAACATGTAAACAGAGAGTATTATTTTATTACCATACCTGCATTGTTAGAACATCCTTTCCCAAGATGAGCAAGCTCCATGTTAAAATGGCAAATACACCATGCAAAACAATGACTGGCTTGTAGCAGAGAAAGTCAGTCACTAGGAACACAACCACAAGTTCCACTAAATATGCGTATGTGCCAACTGGGAAGATATCTTGATTTACCTGAACATAGAATCATAAAAACCGTCCAATTATTGTATTCAAATAAGTAAATGTAAGGGCATAGGTTTTGTAATGACTTCTATCAGTACTACTAACAAATCAACTATGCACAGTCATAAGAAACTTGACAATATCATGACATAATGTTGCATTTTAGTGTCCTGTTGCACTGATTTGTATCCATAATGTGTCTATATTAACTGTCTTTTAGTGCATACAGTATCACTTGTCACTTCACACTACATGTTTTGGCACCATTCTGCCATCCTCAGGTGTATTAATCATGTTAAACCATTGCACTGCCTGCCATCAAGTGTCCATTTTTAAAATGATATAAAATGTGTGTTCGTCGCTGTTCACTAATAAAATTTATATATTAAAACTTGTTAACATTTAACACCTTACATGTCGTATATCAAACTTGTGTGTAATGCCATTCATCCGTTTTGGGAGTCGTTCTTCTTAAGTTTTAATTGTGTATATACTGTGTCTTATGATGTGTCTTTCTTATGTGGCTGCATGCGTTGTATTGCTGGACGTATGTGTGACACACATACATCCAGCAGGGGAAAATATGGCTCTACACCTAATTTTATCTATTCTATTAAATTTGTTACACTGGAGGGCTTATGATTCAAACTACCCATCAGTGAATATTGAACCAGTAGCAGAAAATCCAACTATTGACACCTGTACATGACAGGCACACATTCAAACATGTTCAGACACTGGAAATTAAAATTGTGTTAGCTTGCATATGGGTGGCATGCTGTAGCATAGTTGGTTGAGGCACTATGCTACAAGTCGAAAGGTCACGGAATCAAATCCCGATGAGGTGGATTTTTTCAATTTACCTAATCCTTCCCGCTGTACTATGGCCCTGGGGTCAACTCAGCCTCTAACAGAAATGAGTACCAGGAATATTCTTGGGGGTAAAGGGCAGCTGGCACGTAAGGCTAACAACCTTACCACCATCTATGAGCTGACTGTCTAGAAAATGTGGGAACCTCAACATCTCACAACCCTATCGGCCTCCACGGCCTGTTACAGGGATACCTTTACTTTTACTTTTTAATAGCTGAATGTTTTAAGGGCTTACTTTTGAGGAAAGACAACAGATAAAAGATGAACATTAAAATTAGATAATTTTGTTTTCTGCCTTCAGTAGGTGAGGCATATATGACCCAATTACTGACTTTGTGTTGATGAGAACAAATTCCTACAAGATTTGAGGTTTTCACAGCAGTGACTATGAAGAAGTACATGGTGCCACATCCCGAAACGTCGGTTTACACAACATCTACAGAGCACCACATCCTGAAACATCGGTTTACACAATATCTACATGGCGCCACATCCCGAAACATCAGTTTACACAATATCTACATGGCGCCACATCCCAGAAGACAGCATTCTTCCAATTCTTGCAAGCATTTATGCTTTCTTACAGGTGTCCCCAAATTTCTCAACACATAACAAATCTGTAAAAATATTTATAATATCTCGCTATGCCAAATTACACATATAAAAATTTCTGATTCTTATGCCCTATTTTCAGTCCAAGGACTGTAATGGTTATCTTCATATGCAGGGAAAATATACAGAGAATGGGTGACCCCAACTGGGAAGTCTACCATAACAACTTTAATGAATGTATCAGTGGCAGTCAGGAAAATACATCAGTGAATGTAGTTAATAAGTTTCTTCTTATGATGATGTTAAAAATATATTTAGAAACAGTTCATACCTTAAATACTAAATCTTAATAAAAGAATACCTGTTCTGAAGTGAAATTCTTCCATCTTCCTAGGAGATAATGTGTAACAAATGGCTCGGATGGCCTAAATTCTTTCACAGAACCAAAAATGCAGAGCAGAAGTGATATTTTCAGCCAAGTTTCCATCATGAGTGGCAATATGAACCTTCAAATCTAAAAAATAAACAGATTATTTAAATACTGTTTGTGGCTCCATCAGTTTATTTTCCTTTATGTCCATATGAAGATATACAAAATGATATGGGCTGTAGCAACACATTCTGCATACCTTAACACTATAATCACTGATATATGATACCTCCATAATGTAATACTTTGATCTGACTCATGTGATTCTATGCAACAAACTGTAATACAATACTTGGTTCATGAAACAAAGAAAGTAACTAAGTATAGTGAACTGGATTCTAAACAGGCAGTTGACTTACACATTCCATTCATGAAAACACTGATATTAACAGAGATTCTTAATGCACTGAATTGATACTTAAGTGTACGAGTAATTTTCTCAGCAATATTTACAGCCATGAGTGTCATAACTGTACAGCATTCACTATGCAAGATAATCCAGTACTAAAGATTGCATTTTGCTGAATGTAGACCATTGCAATGAACATGCTACCAAAATTTACATATAACCAAGTTACCCATAATTTTTAAAAAAGTTATAATACATTTGAAAGTGTATAAGACACACTGTGCCCATAATTCAAGCGAATCTTGATCATTTTGTACCATCTAATGTATCACACTCTAAAACAACAAATTAATATGTTTATAAGATGAGCACAATTGCCCCAAAGTTAACTGGTAAATAACTTTCATCTCTATCTGAGCCACTTCTTACAACAGATATATTAGAACAGTCAAGCAGTGATGAGTTATTTGCTTATCTGATATGAGATTTCTCAGTATTCTTGGTGGCCAGTCAAGGATACATGAGATGATGGTAGTAATGGGGCTGCATGTAACATCTAATATCCGTTGAACTGAAAAAAAAAACTACTTGAAAATAAATTCTGTGTGTCAGATTTTGTGGGTTAATTACAGAGCCACATAATAAAATTATACCTATAACACAGTCTTCGCAGGTGATCAGCTGTTTCAGTCATACCATATTAACACAGCTGACTGCCCATGAAGACCTCACAGCATTTGGTTACCATAAAAGTTTCAAAGCTTATAAAGTTATATCTCCTTCACATGCTTTAAAAGAATTTGTTTCTTAGAACATACTAACATAGTACTGTTTACCATTCCAGCACTTAAAGTGGTCTCGAGTTCAGTAATCCCCCACCTCAATCATTCTACTAAATTTGTAACACCATTTATTCCATTTTGATCAATTTCATGTACAGTGTGAGGGATTAAAGGCAAAGTTATGCTTTTAAATTCTTTAATTTCATACATTATGATTCTGCAAACATTTTACATTTATCTCACTCACAAATGCCAATTTATGACAACTGTAGAACAGAACATGATGCAAAAGGCCTCTGACCCCACTAACATCCAGCAAACATACGTTACTAAAACATTTCAGGGTCCACAGATGTGATATATTTTCAAAGCTGCTAGAAGTTACAAGTACTTTGGACACATATATCAGCAATTAATAAATTTTGAAGCACACTTGCCTTGCAATTTATTTGGAAACTAAACCTTTCTTTCTGTGATTACTGTTATCTGTCACCACATAACTTTGTGCTCTTCAACAACCAATGCACTCAGATTCACATCTGTTATAATCATGACTGCCCGATGAATTGATTCAGTTTCAATTTGTGCTCCTGCATGTTATAACTGACATCTTAGTCAGTCACTTTAATATTGATGTTAAGTGACTATTGATCCTGGCCTTATACTGCTGCATAGATCAAGATTATTTTAAAAATGAAGCTAGTATCTTTGCACAACACAGAACTGATGAACTGGTCATACTGTGACATGACATCTAAAAACCATAAACTTCAGAATCTAGAAGGCATGGAAATATCGCAAAAGTGATAATTTACTATGCAACAGAGACACAATTTTCCCACCAGCCAAAGTGATATACAGAAAGCCTGCATGGATGTCCATTATCCAAGTCCACAGCCTACCAACGTGTTTGCGGTCACAGAGCCAGCATGGAACTGGGCAAGTGTTATGTAACATATTGTGAAACAATCTCCAGTTGACAGAAGAGGAACTGACACATGAACCTTACTGGTTTAAGATCTTAAATATTTAGAATTTTAACAACTGTTAACTCAACCATGTTTTATCTTCTTTAAAATCTTTATATAAAACTTTGATTCAACTTGATGTACTAAGATCAATGTAATAGTAGTTTCCTCAACATGTTTGTATGCCTTCTGAGGACGGTTATAACTGACCAAAATATGTAAAGGCATTCATATAAATACACATCTGAGTCACACTGGACAATGCTGTCAAATCATTCTATGATATTCAGTACTTGTAAACTGTGTAATTATTTGCAGATAAGAGGATATTTTCATTTGAAGGAGAAAGCCCTAGATCGCATCAAGTGGAGGAACTGTTTTGGAAGAAACTGTAGACCTGTTGTCTTGACAGATTACAGATGAATTATGAATGAAGAGAAATTGGTGTCTAATATGTCCAGTTACCAACTACATCACACAATTCAGTCATGTATCACATGGCAATATTAACTTGTGGCTGGTGTGACTGAAACACACTTGGAACAAATACATACATTTGTGTTTATTGTTGGTGAACGTATTTCCATTGTTGTGTTTATGTGAGTTTGCGGTTTTGCGATGGCTGACCTGAGAGAGCAGCGTGTCTGTATAAAGTTTTGTTTCAAACTTGGGGAAACCGCTGCAGAAATGCACCAAATGTTGAAGCAAGTTTTTAGTGACAACAGTTTAGGCCAGACACAAACTTACGACTGGTATAAGAGTTTCAAAAATGGCCGAACACTGACGGATGACGACGATCGTTCAGGACGGCCGCCAACGGGCAAAACACCAGAAAATGTCGCGAAAGTTAGGGATCTGATTCTGCAAGATAGTAGACTGACCATCCTAGACCTCTGTAACACCTTGGGACTAAGTTATGGTACATGTCAACGAATTTTGTCAGAGGAACTGAACATAAGGAGGATTGCGGCGAAGTTTGTGCCACAACTGCTGCAAAATGAACAGAAGCAGCACTGCTTGGAAGTCTGCAGGGAACTTCAGCAACAGCTTCAAGAGGATCCAAACTTTCTTTTGAAGGTTGTCACTGGTGACGAAAGTTGGGTTTATGGCTACGACCCTGAAAGCAAGCAGCAATTGTCGCAATGGAAGAGCCCTTCTTCAACTAAGCCAAGAAAAGCTCGACAAGTCAAGAGCAACATCAAGTCCATATTGATCTGTTTTTATGATATTGACGGGATTGTTCATAAGGAGTTTGTCCCTCCTGGTCAGACAGTCAATAAAGAGTTCTATCGTGATGTTCTAAGGCGTTTGAGGGAGAACATGAGGAGAAAACGTCCAGAGAAGTGGCGCATGAACGACTGGGTACTCCACCATGACAACGCACGACCGCATACGGCTTACATTGTGCAGGAATTTTTGATTAAAAACAAGATGGCAGTTGTTCCCCACCTATCGTACTTGCCAGACTTAGCTCCATGCGACTTCTTTCTCTTCCCCATGATGAAAATCAAGTTGAAGGGGCGAAGATTTGATACAGTTGGGGAAATTCAAGCGGAAACGCAGACGGTACTAAACACCCTAACAAAGAAAGACTTCCAGGATGCATTTGAAAAGTGGCAGAAACGCTGGGATCGGTGTATGTGCTCCCAAGGGGACTACTTCGAAGGTGATGGTGCAGAATAAGATCTAGGTAAGATGTAATAGTTTTTATTAATATATTTTGGGAACTTTTGGATTGCACCACGTACATACACTATGGTATTTTATTGATAAAAATATCTGATTTCCAATCAACATTTTGTACTTTATTTTATAACAACCCTTTCACTTGAACAATATTCATATTGCAAGAATGGGTGAGACTATGAATTTTTCTGTGGCAGAACAGCGGTCCTTGCCAAGGCTACGTGATGAGGACCAGCAACAGCCCAGTCAATCCTGCATTGCACTGTCAGCAGCTACTGCCTAGCAATGACTAGTGGACAAACAGAAGACTTTATTTGTGCTATAGCTGTGGTGATTACAGAGTGTATAAATCAGTAAGACTGTTATAAGTAAGATCTAAAAGTTGTGATGATGGTATATTAGAACAAATATTATGTATTTGGACATTATCCATCATCTTGTCTTTATCTAAAAACTGTCCTGTTTATTTTTCAAAACACAATGTTTTGGAGACTGGATTCTATCTCCATCTTCATGTAAAACCTACTCAGTTGGGCCCAATTGATACAGCTAGTCCCTATCACAGGAGATAATATTTGTATTAAGACTGTTATAGTTATTTGTAGTTATGAGTTATAAGCCTTCAATAAATCCAATTATCAATCAAAACTCCATGTCTAGTTACAAATGTACTATTAACTAAATAACTAACTAACTTCATGGAGTTGAGTGCTTCTTGAGAAGCAACCAAATTAACATATTACTCATTTCTTATTTCTGAAGCATTCATATATTAGGCACTGTCTCACAAACATACAATTGGCTTTTACATTTGTTACAGTCTGATTTCTTTGAACTCTTTTATGTCATATTCCGATTGGTATTTTATGAATTTTGTATCACTTCATGGTGTTGTATTAAAAAAAGTCTTAAATCACACAGCTTGGTATTTCAAGCCTACATGATACATTTATACCAGGTAAAAAAGTAAAGTTTTCCTTGTGTTTAACTAATTAAGTACTAGGCCATAAAGGTGTATAGGGGAGTGGACATACAGATCCACATTTTCTTGACCTTGGCACTAGTTGGAGGTGAGTGGTCAGCTTCAGGCCCCAGCTGCTTTTATTCCCTATGGAAGTATCCCCGGTGCCCATTAGATGAGGCTGGGTGGACCCCACAGCTGGTCTGGACAACATGGAGAACAGAAAACCTTTAAGTGACGGCCCTTTAAATTCCGGTAATGGCAGCGGGACGGATTTGATTCAAATACCCGCAATTTTAAAGCAATAAAAACTGTAATCATTTCCTAAAATTGCTGTGATTTCTACAATTTTTGTGATAAACGAACCAAATAAACGCTGTTTTTTTCTAGAAAGAATATAGAATCAGATATTGTAATTTACAGACTTTATAAAATGTGTAAAATTTTTTAGACTGATTCCAAGTAAAAAATTCCCAAATTTATCGTCTCTCTACAAGAATTCAGAGTTCTTGGAACGAAGAATGTTGTATGTAAATGTTGCAACACAGCAGCGGATAGTTTATGGAGCCATGTATAGTCTTGCATGTCTCGAAAGATTATACATGTACGTCATTTTAGTATGCAGAGATGTGGGGTGAGTATCTATTCATATACAAGAACCCTGATTGTTTATTATCGCTTGTTGCAAAACAACAAGCTCTCTCTTCTCACTCTGCTGGAAGTAGATTATAAGTACTTTCATGGTTAGCATCGTAATACTGCCAAGCAGTATCAAAAGCGTGAACCAACCATTGCGCTGTCTCGTTAGGAAGACGCTGACATATTTCAACTCATAAACGACTCCGAATCAAATTGTTGTACATTCAATTCTGAGAGTGGCGTTGAGGAAAGTGAATCAGAAATTGATTTCGACGAAGACCCATCATCTTGGTCAGCAACCTGGGGACCACCACACCAGCATGGCAAGAGGAGTGTGAATAATTATTCAGGTGGAGCTGTGGGCAAACTGTGGCAAACAGTTATAGCATCTGTCGTCGAACCTGGAAATGGACAAATAAACTATTTTTCCATCTCCTGGATCTGAACAGTTACATCCTGTTGTCACACAGAGAATTTCGTCTCGCTCTTGTGCGGGAACATGCTGGAAGGGGTCCACCTCGCCATCAACGGCCCAGGGGTCGAACCCCTGCCGTTTTATCGGAGATATCTCGATGATAGGAGGCCAAACCACATCACTGGCCGACTTCCTCTACTTCACAATTGAGGTGTCGTGTGTGCTTTTCGCGTGGGAAACGAAGAACCGTCTAGACAAAGTGCGTGAAGTGCGATGTCGGACTCTGGATTTCCGGATGTTTCCAAGATTTCCACATGAAGCCAACTTCCGTCAGAAGAGACAACTTATAAAGCTGGTGACCAAAAATCATGTAAGTAGAAAAAGAACTTATAACTTAAAATTAGATTTTAAAAAGCCGGCAGCAAGCGTGGACTGCGCAACAACATATGGCATCATTCGTCCCCTTGACTTTATTTTCATGACGCCATATGGTGCCACTCGGCTCTTAAAGGTTAACTCTGATCCCTTGGTCATCAAGCCCGTATCCAGTTTCTATACTGACTGAGGTATCCAGACTGCTATATTTACCCCAGCACTTCAGTAAATAGAAATGTGTTTCAGCCTCATTTTTTATTTCAATGCCTATCAGAATAATCAGATTTTTTTTAGAAATTAAACCATTTGACTTTATTTTTAAATGGTCTGTCAGACCAGTGCTACTAATTAAAGATAAAACAGTAACATTTCAGTTAAAGTGTTAAGTTGTTAAAACACTGTTCTTGTATACTGTGACATGAAGCTGAGAGTTGTAATAATTCAATCAATAAATGAGGCCATTGCTAGCCGCAGTAAACACATTTTCATGTTAACACAGAAATACACACAATAAGGGAACTATTTGGAGCAGTGTGTTCTATGAATGAATATGAATGCAGCCTGTGCCAAGACTATATAACAAGAAACAAATGGACAAGCATCAGCAAGGCAGCAAGAAGAGACACTGATGGAGTCTGAAGGCTCTTACAGCTGTCAGACAGTAAAATATGGTCATGAGTTCCATGGGGTCTGCAGCCAAGAATCACTGTTCTGGCAAGGACAAGCAGCAATTTAGCAGTCAGTCAGTTATGCCTGAGAGTTTACAGTCAGTCATGAATCAGAGGTCAGGGTAAGCAGCTGGCGGTCTTAAGCTGTACTGCTAGCAGCCACTATGTAGCAACAACTAGGGAACAAACAGCCCTGCACTGTAGTTGTAATGATTCTGTTGAGTATGTGAATCAGCAGGACTGTTATTTCAACTTTCAACTTTATTTTCGTCCATAATCGAAGTGAATACAATTGGACATGTCAAGAACATGCAGTTAAACAAGTTTTAAGGTTTCGAAAAAATCCAATTATCAGTCCAAACCCCGTGTCTTGTCACTAACCGGTGACAATACAAACACTTAACACTTTGCGGACCGCGCACCCTTTAAAAGGATTTTTGCTTTTAAACATGGCGGACCGGTGGCATAGTATTATGACTTTGGGACACGTTATGTTGGAACACACTATACCTTGCTCTGGCACCACGCAACTGCAATGAATACTGCTTAATACATCTTCGGAATGTATGCTAGGTATTCAGTAACTTGACCTGGCTGGCTAGGGTCCCTACTCAAAAAGAAAATAAACCTTGCCCCTTCCAGCTGTTTATGTACCAAGCAGGAAGTTAGTAGAGGGGAATATGTTTCAAGGACAAAATCACTTGAAGGCAAGCGATCTCTCTGACTTGTTTTCCGATGAGCTAACTGACTGCCTTGTGGAGAAGTAGTGATTAGTGACTCAGACAGTGGAAGTGACAGGGGTCAACAAAGAATTGTGGCCACAGATAATAAAAGTGAAAGTTGCCTTGTGGCTTATAAATTGTGCCATTTCCAATTCATTTTTGGTTTACAAAAATCTAAACTCTGATTCTAAATTGAAATACAAAGCATTTCTGGTGAATGTGGCAAAGGCTTGGGCTACAGACCAGATGGTGGCGGCAGAACCAGAGCCAGACTGACTTAGAGCGACCTAGCCCATGAACTCCCACCCCACGCAGGCCTCATGTGGACACCCCTGTGTGATTCTCGGGGGGGGGATAT